TAAATAAATAAATAAATAAATAAATACCCCCCAAAAATAACCCAAACTGAGCGTTTTGGAGAGGCAAATTCACTCACCCCAGACAGCCCCGAGGGCGAGGAGCAGCCGGAGCAGCAGCAGAGCCGAGCAGCCCATGTCGGGAGCCCCGGAGTTTCTGCTGCTCTGGGGTTAAAAATCAGCTCCTCGCAGGAACAGGTGCCCTCGAATCAGCGCCGGTTTGCGGGCCAGGAGTTTCCTGTTTTGGGGCCGAACGCGGCTCCTTTTTTTTTTTTTTTTTGCTTTGCCTTTCGTTTCTCGATCGGAAAATATTCAAAATATTCGGCAGAAGCGGCCCCGGGGACCCGCGGGAGGGGAGGAAGCGGAGCGTGGGGTCGGGTTTGCGCCAGAACCTCCTCGCCCTGAGCCCCGAAAGGAGAGGAAATGACCCGTGAGGGGATCATTTCTTATTATTGATCCTAGAATTCCCGGCGCTGGAAGCTCCGGACGGATCCCAAAGGGAGCGGGAGGGGAGGTGCTGCTGCCCGTCCCCAAATGCTGCCCCGCCCGCCGCGGTGCCCACCCAGAGGGGTGGGAAAGCCCCGAATATCCTGGGATTGACCCGCTTTGGGGGTTTTTTTTTGTGGGATCCCAACAGGAGGAGGAGAAGGAGGGAGGGTGGTCATGGAAAATTCACCTGAGTTCTTGGAAAACTTCTCTTTCGGGAGAAGTTGAATCCTCCTTCTTGCCCTGAGGGAGGTGACCTTGGGATTCAGGTGCTCAGGGATGGGGACGGTCCAGAGGGGTGGGAATGGGGCTGGAATATCAACCTGGGGTGGGAAAAGCAGGGAATGTGGTGCTGGGGACAGGGAGGGTCCAGAGGGGTGGGAATGGGGCTGGAATATCAGCCTGGGGTGGGAACAGCAGGGAATGTGGTGCTGGGGACAGGGATGGTCCAGAGGGGTGGGAATGGGGCTGGAATATCAACCTGGGTATGGAAAAGCAGGGAAAACAGTACTGGGGGCAGGGATGGTCCAGGATGGGGATGGGGCTGAAATATCAGCCCTGGGTGTGGAAAAGCAGGGGAAGGTCGGTCCTGGCCCTGCTGCTGGAACCTCTGGATGTGTTTCTGGCAGAGGGAATCGTTCCCTAGCAGAGGGGATCATTCCCTGGCAGAAGGAATCATTCCCTAGCAGAGGGGATCATTCCCTGGCAGAGGGGATCATTCCCTGGCAGAGGGGATCATTCCCTGGCAGAGGGGATCATTCCCTAGCAGAGGGGATCATTCCCTGGCAGAGGGGATCATTCCCTGGCAGAGGGGATCATTCCCTGGCAGAGGGGATCATTCCCTGGCAGAGGGGATCATTCCCTGGCAAAGGGGATCATTCCCTGGCAAAGGGAATCATTCCCTGGCAAAGGGAATCATTCCCTGCCGTCGGGGCTCAGCTTTGGAACGGAAGGAAGGGCTTTTGCCTTCGGGCTTTCTTCCAGTTTCGTTGCTTTCCCTGGTTTTTTTTGGAGGTGGCAGCAGCAGGAATTCACGCTCGCGGTTGGGAAAGACCTCTGAGGCCACCGAGGCCACCCCGGGACTCGTCCCCACCTCGTCCCCCGGCCAAGAGCCACGTCCAAGCCCTTCCCTGGGCGCCCCGGGCTGGTTTAAAAATGACATTTTAATGTCATGGCGGGGCAGCAAAGGGTGAACTCACGTCCCGCTGCTTTTCAGGGAAGTGGAGCTCGGAGCCCTGCACGAGTTTTGCCGTCAGCAGATCGCCTCTGACGGTAAAAGGTGCGGGTGAAACCACCCGAAACCGCCTCATGGGCGTCCCGTGAGGCCCCTCCTCCCGCCCCGAGGGCTCCCGACTCAGCCACTTCCCAACAGTGAGAGGGGGAAGGACCCGGCAAAGCTCTTCCCGTGGAAAAAAGGGGATGGGCAAGAGCAGGTCGAGGGGACCCAGACCCGGGAAACACGGCCGAGGTTCCTCCTGGAGGCATCTGGGACTCGGAAAACTGTTTAATGAGCAAAACCATCAAGAGAAAAAGTCCTTTGGGGGAGCACTGAGGACATCCAGAGGTAGGAAAAACTCCTTTGATGGCGAGGAATGATCCCAAAAACTCCTTTCTTTCCCAGGAGCTCAGCCTGAAATCTCCTGGCTGGGAAGTCGACTGAGACACCAACCCCAGGCCCTGTGTTTGTCCATTTTATGGACACCTCGGATCTTGTGAGAGGCAGATGAGCCCCAGACTTCCACGTGGGACCCCAGAAAACATTTTCAGGGTGGGGGGATCCCTGCAAAAATAAACCTTGATGTTCAAACCATCGGACTCGGAGCAGAAATGACCCCGAGCTGTCCTTAAACCGAGTGGAACCACCTGGATTTTTCAAAGGAGTCCCTGGTGACCCTTTGCTGATCGTGGCCTTCGAAATCTTTGCTTAAAGATGGCTCTGGAATTCGGGATTTAGGGAGATAAAACTCCTGGTTGTCCCCCTCCCTTGGGCTGGGTGGTTGGAGCTGGCAGGGGAAAAGTGTCCCAGGGTTGTGGTGGCCCAGGAAATGTCCCCATTTCTCCTTGCAGGCTGAGGGAGCACCTCCATCACTCCCAAAACCTCTTCCCACCCCAAAGGACCCGTGTCCCACCATCCAGGGCTGGAATCTCCCCTGGGGGACACAGGGGAAGGGTCTCTGTCCCCAGCAAAGGTGCTGGGGGGTGTAAACACACCTTCCTCCATCATCCCCCAAGTCCCTGAGCTGTGGGGGAAGAATCCGGATTCCCAGCCCAAGGGGGAAGGATCCGGAACAGGCACCTAAAAAATGTGGTGTTCAGGTAAGAATTTAATGTGTAAACGGGTGTTTGTGAAGGTCCTCAAAGCAGGGAGGACACGCAGAGGGAAAGCCAGAGGTGCCACCACCCCGGCTCTGCCCCCTTGAGATGGTCCTGGAAAAATGCAGGATGCCCAAAATCCCCAGGAAAGGCTCCTGGGTGGCCCCACCGGCCTCGGGGAGAGGGAGAGGAGGAGGAGGATTTCCCAGTGATTGAAGGATTGGAATCGTTCCCTTGAGCCACCACCACAACCTCTGTGCTCCTGGGAGATCCAGGAGCCTCATCCCGATGCTGGGGGAGTGAGGACAGAGGTGAACTGCAGGGTCCTCAAGCCAGAGCGAGGTGGAGGAAGAGGAGCAGGAGGTGTCCCAGGACCAGCAGCCCGCCCGTGGCCGTGCAGGAGGAGGCAGTGGAGGATTCACCTGGAGGCAGAGGGAGATGAGGGGCAGGGGGAGGGCTCTGGAGGGATCCCAGGCCCTGAACCCCTCCCTGGGATCACTCCTGCCCCACACCAGCCCACGGTGCCGGGGGGAAAGGTCCCCACAGCTCCTGACCCGAGGGACTGCAGGGAACCCCCCCTTGGGGGTCGGGCTCTTCTCCCACACAACCAGGCACAGGACGAGGGGAAACGGCCTCGAGCTGTGCCAGGGGAGCCTCAGGGGGGACATCAGCAGGAATTTCCTCCTGGAAGGGGTGGCCAGGCCTTGGCAGGGGCTGCCCAGGCAGGTGGGGGGGTGCCCACCCCCGGAGGTGTCCAGGGAAGGGTGACGAGGTGGGGACGGGGCACGGGACGGACTCGACGACCTCGGAGTTCCCTCCCAGCCTCAGGGATTCCGTGACCTGCTCTCCTCGGGGTCCCCAGAGCTGCTCTGGGGACCCTCCAAAGCCACCCCAGAGCCCACCCCCCCGCGCTGTGGCCCCCCCTTACCTGTCCAGGAGCAGGGGTGCCTGTAGGTCAGCGAGGCGCTGTTGGAGGAGGCGGGATTGCTGACCTTGCACACGTAGGTCCCCTCCGAGGGGTTGAAGGAGACCTTCTGGACGGGGCCCCCCACGCCCTCCAGCAGGACCTGCCGGGGGGGGATCCACTCGTAGGTGACCTCCGGGAGCCCCACGGAGCACTCGAGGGTGGCGTTGCACTGCTGGTCATCGTCCTGGGTCACCGTGACCCTCACCGTGGGCTTCGGGACCACGTCTGGGAGGGGCAGCGGGATTGTCACGGTCACCCCGGGACAGCCCTGGAACAGCCCTGGGCCCCCCAAATTCAGGAAGGACATGGAGGGGCTGGAGCAGGGCCAGGGAAGAGCAGCGAGGCCGGGGAAGGGTCTGGAGCACAATTCCTGTGAGGAGAGGCTGAGGGAGCTGGGGGGGCTCAGCCTGGAGAGGAAGAGGCTCAGGGGAGACCTCCCCACTCTGCACAACTCCCTGACAGGAGGGGGGAGCCGGGGGGGGTTGGTCTCTTCTCCCAGGCAAGACAAGAGGGCTGGGTCTGAAGCTGTGCCAGGGCAGGTTTAGGTTGG